TCCCCCTACTAATCGTGGACGTGGCCGGTGATGTGCGAGGGGCTCTATAGTGAAATTCGTTATTTAAAGGCCGATCTCAGGGGATGAAGCGGAGAAGGGAAGGGGAGGCCAAGACAAGATAGTTTGGACTTGTAACGACATGCCGAGGTGCAAGTTGATGTTCTCTTTGCCCAATCCCATGGGCTGGAGGACAGAACAGGGTAGAAGGGGGCAGAGGAGGAAAGAGGAGATTGATTTATAATAAAAAGCCCCATATTCCCGAGTGAGATGACTCGGTGTACTTATGGAACCATGGTTTAATTATATTGCCTTACGCAGTTTTGGCTGCTGTCATTAGTTAACCGAAGATAAATGACAAACAGCATGTGCCTCAATCTATGCCATAATCGGTAAGCACACATTGTTAGCCTCCTACTTCAATCAGATAGGGTTTTGGCGTTAAACAACCTTTGGTAGACTCAACTTTGAATTCTCTAAGGCCAGATGTTTTGTAGTGTTTGAGGGCAGGTTTAACGTAACCTCGCAAAATCGTGTTGGACTATATGTACTGACTTTCCGAATAACGTCTCCTTATCGCATTCCATTTTGAGAAAAATGTGTATTCTTAAAAATATACATGTTAATACAAAGTGATCAAAGAGTCCTGTTACTTCTCAAAACACTTGATATGCAGCCTGGCAAAGTAGTTCCAGATGTGATTCAAAAGGAACTCTTCTGCAGAAAAATACAATGTTGTTTGGTGAGCGAGTACAGCCTTACTTTCACAACCGACCGGTATTTGGTAACCAAATATTTATCTGTGCCTCAAGAACGGTTTAAAAGATTTTAAAAACCCAATTTTCCCCAAATAACCCACTCATTCCTCTTAATCAGGAAGACGAGCTTAAGTAGATCTGTTTGAACAGGCCTTATGGAGGAAGAGATAAATTCTGGCCAACTATCAACAAAGTGGGTTTTGAAGAGAAAAACATTTGTTTACTTTGGCATGTTGAGAAGGTGGTGAGGATTTCAGGCTGAGACAACGTCGCATCCTATCAACTTCTGTCAATCTGATGGGAAATCCTGGGAGGAATTCAGTACTATCTCCTAGTTGTCATCTTACCGACTCCCAAAGGTTACAAATCAGCCTTCTCAAAAAGTAACTCAAATTAAAAAAAAAAAAAACAAAACTTTGTTGTCAAGTGTTCTAAATAGGGAATTGTACGTACCACTGATTTAAATACAATTAACTACACACACCAACTCACAAAGGGGCAGAGTAATCTTGTGTTTGCCCAGCTTAGATTGGTGCATCTTTGGTCGTGAATTAATGCGTTGTAGAATCGTGGGAACATCAATCAGAGAATTCCAAACCCTGCATCCCCTCTCTCCCTCCCCACCGCGGCTACTCGAAATGCCCCAATAACTTCACTTTTCCTTCCCACTTCTCCAGTTGTCCGATAAAATGCGGGTAGGGATGTGGACAATCTGGGACAACTTTGTGATTGATGCCGCTGTCTTTGTGGCTTTCTTCGCATTCCTTCCGTTGCCCTAGTCCCGGGGGATGCATGCCCAATTTAAATTAATGTAAGCACTGTATGAAATCTCTTCATTGCATGACTTCTGAACTGATAAGATAACAGCAGGATAAAAAAACAGGGTGGAGACACACATGTTATCAGCTTATCGGTAGATTGAGATGCAGTTGCTATGTTACAGGTGTGAACCCACGTGTCCGAGGGACCCCTCCACCACACATCCGTCCTCGGCGATGCAGGAGCCGGCCTTTGTTTAGGTTATCACAGCCGGATATTCGGAAGGATCAGTCTAAAGTTGTTGTTTACCGAATTATGTCAATTTGTGAGAAAATGTTGGCTTTCGTCATGATGTTATTCTGGAACACGGGCTACTTGGATCCTCATGGCCACCTGGAATACCTGTGCGTATTCTGTCTCGGATGTGCATATTACCACTGACACTGCATTCTCCAACGCTTCTCAATTTTATTGGCACAAACAAAATATTTAACGGTCACAATGAGGAATGTGTTAAACAAACTCCCTAGGTGGTTTAAAGTGCGAATGCCTAGAGACCTATAGGGGAAATAACTTCATAAGAAGTGAAGTTGTACCGATGTTACTTTCTAGTCCACATGACATAATTCAAGTAAGGTCACAGGTTCACCATTTTAGCCACACCACACATACGTCGCCGTGATTTTCGAATGCCAGGGTGTCAAGGTATTCATTCATGCCGTTCCTACAGAGGTCATCGGTATTGAGGTGGTGAACTGGTACGGTACTGTGAATATTCTCTTAGTGACTGCTTACTTTACATGTACGGAAATGGATGTCGGCGGCACATACTTGGTGTTACCGGAATTCTCTC